TCGCAGTTGTTGAGAGTCAATAGCACTACTCATATATTTTCATTTCGTCCTTCAACACCGATAGTGTTGGATCCGAAAAAAGATTATGAATTGGCGCTTAGGTCTTTTACTTCATACAATTCCATACCGAATATTGAAAAAGGAGATAAATTTTATTATATCGACCGGATAGGTGGTGGTGGTGGTCAATTAAAAGTCATCGAGTTTCCGACAGGTTGTTATGAAATTACCGACATAGAAACATTTATACGAACGCAAATGAATCTTGAAAATGAAGTTGCTCCTCCGGATGATTATTTTTCTCTAAAACCTAACAATAATACACTGCAATGTGAAATCTTTAGCAAGTATTATAAAATAGTTTTTACAGAACCGAATAATCTTGGACATCTATTGGGATTCTCGAAAAAAGTTCTTAATCCTGGTCAAAAGCATTCTTCTGATTTACCTGTAAACATAATAAAAGTATCAACCATACACTTTGATGCTAACATTACGTCGGGAGCCTTTGACGGAGACACGCCTGCACACACGATCTACGAATTTGCTGTGACAGCCGATCCTGGATACGCTATAGTCGAAACACCTGTAAATTTACTATATCTACCTGTTATACCGAAACAAGAAATAACCAACATCACAGTGTTGGCTTTAGATCAAGACGGTCGTCCTGTAAACTTTCAAGGTGAAACTAGTACTCTTGTGTTGGAGTTGAGAGCGAAGCGCAGATGGGATTAGTGATTATAAGACATAGTGGTGCTTCCAAGGCAACTTCAGTATTACCCCAAGCACCTAAGCGACGACATCTACTACTAACTACATCAAATATCCTGTTTCTACGCTCACTTGGATATCATGTCAACAACAACAAGAATCATGTACAAAAAGAGAAAAACTGAGGAGGCAGCAGCAGCAGCATCACATACTTCTCCGATGTTTGATCTATATCGATCTCCAGCATTCGATGAATCTATTCGCAAGGCTGAGTATAGATCTTATACGCCGTTCATCAAGTCATTTAATTGTAATGATGTTGTGGAATTTAGCATCAATCAAGTAGATTCGTTCTTTGCAATGAACGCTTCCCTTCTATCTATCAAAGGAAAAGTTGAAATAACTGGAGGAGGAGGAGCAGGAGATGTATCTTTAGCTCCAAACTTTGGTGCCTTCCTATTTGACTCTTGCACTTACAGTGAATCCGCTAGAGAAGTTGAAACAGTACGTGATCCTGGTATTGTAAGTACTGTCCGAGCTTACGTATGTTACAGTGAGGAAGACTCAAATCATATGGCTATAGCTGGATGGAACTATCCTTCAACACCTATAATGGCGTCAACACATAACAAGTCTTTTAGCTTGCTAATGCCGCTTAAACATATTTTCAACATTTTCAATGATTATCCTATGATTACGTGTGGCAGACAAACTCTCAGATTTGTGAGAGCTAGAAACGATAACGATTGTATCATTATCAAGGAAAAAACTGGAACGACGACGACAGCGAAAATAACTATTGAAAGCATGGAACTGAAAATCAAACATATTTACCCGAGTGATGATGTGAAAGAACAACTTTTGAAAGCTATTCAAACTGATAAGCCGATACTTATACCATTTAGAAAATGGGATCTGAATGAACTGCCTGCAATTACCGCAGATGCGAGAAGAGAAATATGGTCAGTTAAAACTAGCACCGCAATCGAAAGACCACGTTTCATTATAGTATGTTTCCAAACCGGTAAACGTGACGTCGCAACCTCAGACCCTACCCTGTTTGATCACGTGAATGCTGCTAGTATTCGAGTATCTTTAAATGGTGAATACTATCCCAACGAACGTATGCAATTGGACTTTGCAAACAATCACTTTACTGAAGCTCATTTCAACTATAGCGACTTTCAAACCAGCTATACAACTTCTTCTTCTCCTCTGAAGAGATGTCTTTTAGATTATACCGCTTTTAAAAATCGCGCTTTGTTTGTTATTGACTGTTCCAAACAAGAGGAAACCATGAAATCATCAACTGTTGATGTTAGATTGGATATCGAAGCCGATACTGGCTTTCCAACCAACACCAAGGCCTACTGCATCATTATACATGACTGCTTAATCGAGTACTTCCCCCTCACCGAAGTTATTAAAACCATCTCGTAAGCAACGAAGGACTCTCAGTTCCGCATCAGACATCATGAGGATCGCGTTTGTTGACATTCAAGGCTTTACAGTTGACGGATTATTCGTACCTAAAGAACTATGTATCGAAATTGGTTTCAAGAAAAGTCATTACATCTTTACACCTCCGCAACCTTTTTCTACATTAAATACTAAAGACAAGAAAACTGTCGCTTACTTGGAGAAGAATTTCCATGGGCTTAAATATTCTTCCGGCGACGTTAAATATTCCAAGTTAAATGAAATAATTAAAAATAAGGTGATATATGCGGCTGACTATGTCTACGTTCGTGGAGAACAGAAAGCAAACTTTTTACTCAAGAAATGTCACATTTTTGGTGTTTTTCCCAACATTATTGATGTTTGCAAGTATGATGGTACACCGTGTGCTACTGGAAACTTTGTTGCTGATTCCAATCCATGCCACACCAACGGACAATTTTCCTGTACCCAGAGAAATGTTGAACGTCTACGCCACTGGTTTTCAAATATCATATTACCTATGTAGTTTTTTCTATTTTCAATAAAATATTAAACGTATTATTGTAGTTTTATTGAAAATACCTCTGGTTTGCGAAATAATTGTCAGAATGTCTATACTATTTTCATTTTGAACGGTATCATCCTGTATAATAATAACAGTACATCGTATACAGGTTATGAGACATTCTGACCGACCGACCGACCGACCAGAGGAGCCCACCACGCTATTTAGGTCACGCCTTGCTATATACGATTTAACGATATACCGTCGGTCCATCGATCCGCTATTTTTCGATGCACCCCTGTATACACGTTGCCCCCCGTAATCCACGCCAACACCAGACAGGTGCGACATCGGCGCCATCTATGCGCGAGATGCCCAACCCATCAATGGCAGCTGTCCAATGACGCATAGATTCCGTTAGGTTTGTACAGCGCCAAACAAATCGGCGCCATCTATGCGCGAGATGCCCAACCCATCAATGACAGGTGTCCAATGACGTATGACAGATGACGTTTTAACGCCATCTATGCGTGAGATGCCCAATGACGCATGACAGGTGTCCAATGACACACAGATTCCGTTTGGTTTGACAGCGCCATCTAGCGGCGGAATCCCCAACTCATGAATACAGATTCCGTCCAACAACCTGTCAATGGCGCGCGACGCCAGCGCCTCTGGTGGCGGATTTTGGAAGTTTTGAGACCGAATCCCCATAAGACATCTACTAATGTATCCTGTATATTGCTCAGTCAACTAGTAGTGATGGTCGGAAAACAGGTGTTTTGGGACAAACAACTAGATATTCTCAAAAAACTACTTGACCCATATGCTCAAGTGTTGTTATTAAAGTATGAATCTTACGGATTTAAAGCAGATTTCAAGTAGTTCCGCGAAATTATCGTTGTATTGTCAACAAGTGCCAAAACCTGCATTTTGCCTCGTTTTTCGGCCATAACTTTTTTGCTATTAGTCGGATCTTATTACGTGTGGTTTAATTTTGTAGGTATTATGAATACCTAACAATTTTATATGAAAAGTTTTTTCATACCTGTCAACAGTTTCGATTGAATCCCGAAAAACACGTTTTCCCTTTCTTTGTTGTCAAATAAAAATGTTTTCCACATTTTATGCGTCCATTATTTAAATACCTCCTTGAGCAACTTTCACCAATAAAACCAGACTTTACAATTATTTCGGGGAAATTCGCTAATATGATTGCACTACAAGTAAAAGCACAAGAAATTGCTCAGCGAAAGGTCAAATGCGAGAACGTTTCGTCAGCAAGATCACAGTGCTATTCCATTTTTGCTTCTGGTGCTATGTTATTCCTGATATAGTTCTGAGGTTCGTTGATTAATAACCTTTTGACAACGACAAAAGATCTAGTCTATATTCGCGGCTGTGGGCATGCATCTTCCAACCATAGTCATCTGTGCAACTCCCAAGCCGATAGTGAAGTTTGAACTTGTTGCACGCTAAGCGTACCCGTATAATACTGAAGTGTTTGATAGCTAACGACGAAATAGTTTCAAATCCCAAAATTTCAAACGTATACCCCCAACGAAAAAGAATGATTTCTATGGGGACGTCTTTTCATCTATAATCGTACAATACAGGGCAATCCAAAAATAAGATAATGCGTTACATCCTAGATTCAATCGTTGTGAAGCTATTTGAGTTTATAATAGAATTCTAGAAATTATGATAAGGAATTATATCGTACAAATATGGTTTGCATACCTTAAAGTAAAAATTAATTTGATATAAAGAGGTAGGTCAATGTGGTAATAAGGGCTGAAAGTCGTTCCCATTTACCTACATGCAATAATAAAGATTTTGTTCAAATCTATTCCTCACATTTTCAAGAATGTCTTGACTTATTTGTCTACATTCAACCGTAATACGCTGACCAAAATCTTGAATGGAATCTGGCTTCGTACTAAAAACTTAACTTTTCAAATGTCCCCAAAAAAACTAATCTAAAGAACTTGAGACCGGTGATCTCAACGGCCACTCGTCTGCCGATCCACTGATTCGGGAAATGGGTGTCCAAAAGCGTCGTACTGCCCCAAAAATGGGGCTCTCCATTTAAAAATCTAAAGTGTAACGCTATATCTTATTTTTGGATCACCGTGTGTTGTACTGTTATAGATGAAAAGACGTCCCGCTAGAAATCAAAATTGACGTTTCTCCCAAAATATACCAGGTGAGTCACAAATGTGCTTGCGACCTTTTCGTTGGGCCAGCCTGTAGGTACAGTAGCTATCGACGTTTGCTATACGAGTAGAAGAATGTTTTTTGCCAATTTAAGCAAAGAACGCAACAAGCTGCTTAAAGGAAATCAAAATATACGTACTGCACTGAAAGCCCAGCATGCGCCGCATTGACCTTGATTTTTGACAGCTGTCACAGCACCCTTTTTCCTCCAGTCAATTGCAGTCTTTGTCTCAATACCCGTGGAATCAAATTCTAGGGCATTTCTTGGTCGGTCAGCTTTGCCTTGGGTCTTCAGCAGGTCCAGGAACTCTTGTTGGGTCATGTCGGCAAACTGTGTTACCTTCATAGCGTAACTCGCCTCACCCGACTCGTATTTTTTATTGTGTTCTTGGATCATACGCACGTTGTCTTGGAAAATGGAGAAGCGGTGTTTATCTTCTACCAAACTCCTGTAGGTCTTACCATGGATCAGCTGAAAACACGCAACGAAATTTTTAAAGCACCGATTACAATTTGATGTCTACACTTTCACCATTTTGCGTAATAACCACTTCAGGATGCACCAACAAAAATAATAGACAAATGATTGTAAGGACGTATTTAGGATTTCGTCTAGAGGGACGTAAACGATATTTGGGGCTGATAATTTTGCAGTCTAAATTGAACTTCTAAAATTTATCCTATTGTCGTAATCCGTAAATCCAATGAGGTCTATCTGGTCAATGCCAACTTGAAAAAGAAAACATGGAAACCGCTCGGAAATCCTCAGAACGGGTAGACATGTTGTGCGATTTTGGCCTTTGAAACATGTCTCAGGATGTTTATGTAGGCATGTCCATAAACCAAGCTCCGTCTACGGAACTGATGTGAGACCAAAAATCACACGTCTATAGTCTCCCGCACGGGTATCATGTAATACAACTACAGAACGTCAAAAAAAAAACCTGTAAGATGTCAACTTGCAGACTAGGTAGTTTTTAGGGTGTAGTCATTCCATGGTTGCTCAATAGGATCGTTGTTAACGTCCATCTATGGAGGAATCACTCAACTAAACTACACGCATTATTGGTTGCATAGTTTTGTGAGGCCTGGTGATCCGTGTCTGTAGTATTTATCTCTGAGAAGAAAGTTGGTTGAATAGCAAGATCCCATCTGGATCATTATGTGTATTGGTCCGCATGTGTATAAAATCAGTGATATTTGCTTTGTGACAAAATCATTACTGAATATGCTGCCAATGAAGTATATCTATTGACTGTGCCCGACGGGTTATCTTTATGTTGTGCTTTCTGAAGAGAGGTTATGTTCAAAGTTATAAATTACGGAGAATTACGGGAAATCATCATCGCGCCAGCGTTGTGTGTAATTACTGTTAGCATGTATAGGGCTTGTACTTCCACAGTATACAGTGAATATAATTATTTCTGACCTTTCGCATTTTGGATATTCAGAAAATTTGTATATGTAATTTCCAGAATGTATAAGAAAAAGTGGTTGCGGAACTAATTTATAGCTTTGAATCTTGATTAAGTGTCTTTGAGACAAGAATCCAATGGAATTATCATCAACACATACATACTCAAGGCTCTGTCTTGGGGCCAGTGCTGTTCCTTCTGTATACAAGTGACCTGCCCGCATTGATTTCCTCCACATGTTCAGCTTATGCCGACGACACCAAGATTTACAATACTGTCGTAAATTCTGCTATGCTTCAACGATATCTTGATATTGTTTGTCAATGGTCAGTCAGTTGGCTTTTACCCTTAAATCTAACTAAGTGTTGTGTCCTTCACCTCTGGAAGACAAATCCGCGATTTACATACAAGATCTCTGATCACAACATCGAAGCAGTTTCCAGCCACACTGACCTGGGCGTTGTAGTCAACGATCGTCTTTCCTGGTCAGAGCATATTCACCACGTTACATCAAAAGCCAAGAAACTTCTATACATGCTGGAGAGGTCTTTCAAAGGATCCGATGTTAACACTTGCGCCTACATTTACAAGGCATTCGTGAGGCCAATTCTTGAATTCGCTGGCCCGGTATGGGACACTGTGCTTCTGCGCGATAGAAATCTCGTCGAATTAGTACAGCGTCGGGCTACTCGTATCCCTTTTGGAGCACGAAGACCAAGCTATGAAGATCGCCTTGAATTATTCAACCTGACCTCATTCTCTGAGCGAAGACTTCGTGGCGATCTTATAGTTACGTTCAGGATACTTCATGGTTTGATGGGCACCAACCTCATGCATCTATACCGTCTGTCGCGCAGCAATCTACGCGGACACAGCTTCAAACTGCATAAGGAGCCATTTAAAACAACAGTCCGACAGTGGTTTCTTCCCAACCGCATATTCAACACCTGGAATAGTTTACCTGAAAGTGTGGTTGGTGCTACTTCAGTTAATAGCTTCAAAGTGCAGTATGATAACTGGAGGAGTGTACAAACTTTATAGCTATGAACTGTCTTTTTTTATTTTTTCTATTTTTGATGTATTTGTGTTACGTGTCCGTACACTATATTTACTGCATGAGCTTATAGTACTGTGTACTCTGCTCATCTCAATTATCATAATAATAATAATAATAATAATAACTTACACCTTAGACCTCCAGTAAACGTACATTGATAACTAAAGCCTCATGAAGTTTAGGCTACACTTACAACTAAGGGCTAAGTTAACCTCTTGTAGAAAAACAAAAAAAATCGATATAATCTCAATTTTTAAGATACCTGATACCCGTGCCGATCGGAATGTACATACGTTCACACATTCCGACAGTGTAGATGTCACTCGACGTCTAGAGACGATGCATATCCCAATCCATTCACATAAAACAATGTCGTTGATGGTGGAAACGAACATGAGACCGAAAAATTCACATTATCGTATGGACGCTAGACGAAACAAGGAAGGATGTCTATAGACTATCTATAGATCGTGACATGAGACCGTCTCCAGACAAATTGCGCAACGGGGTCTACTAGAGTGTACTAAGCTTAAGGATTAAGACTCAGAACTGTCCATTAAACAAATCAAATAATTGGTGCAAATACTGATAAAAATATCAATAGGCATCTCATATCGCACGTAAAAAAGTTGGAAAACTTTGGAAAAAATTATATCTGTTTGATCGTAATTATATTAATAATGCATGTTTGTACGAAACAAGTACAGGAATATAATGCTGTACATATTCAGGTGTAGTGCAGAAGCTCTGTGATTTGAACGAATTCAATATGTTTTTATCAATCCAGAGCAATGTAGCAAATTTTAGCAACAGCGCTACTTTTGCACTTGACCTCTGACCAATGTGCTGTAGTGTAAAACTTATAGTCTTTGTTTGAGCTTTGATCAGCCTTTTATCTGTGAATGTTTCTTCTAATAGAGTTCGTTCCTATCGATTACGGGTAAAAGTCTTGTTCAGCTTTAAAGTAATTTCATTCTAAGCTTACCTTGAATTGCTGCCATTCTTCTTTAATAGAAGAAGCGCAAGCCACCAGAACCAAAGTAGCAACTACAACCAAGGACTTCATGTTTCTAAAATACCAAGAAAAATGAATTAGTTCATCAGAAGCACTGGTAGTACTTGAAAGATTTCAAGCTATGACATTTACTTGTCTTTTCGTTATTAGGAGAAAGCCAGGCGAAGCGAACATAGCAGGAAAGGAAAATTTTGCGTTTTACATCCAAACGGCCGCGAAAGAGTACATACTCCTAGTCATAAAAGGGTACTATAAAAGTTTTGTAATATGACTTAACAACGGACGCAAGAGGCTGCATGTTAATGCGTCTTGAGACATGTCCATGAGTGCATAGTAGCCGCCGGTAACACTTCTGTTGACTTAGTTGTTCATTCGTCTTGACAGTGTATCGGATCGTGGTCACGTAGTGAGATAGGGACAGTTTTACGTTCTAACTTTACTCATAGTTTAAGCATAGACCAGTGCCTAAAAGAAATGATGCTTGCATTAAAGAATGATTGTCCCCATCGCACGACCATAGTCAAGTGATGCCGAGAATTCCAAAGGGGCAATTTCACTCTGGGGGACGCTGAGAGGGAAGGAAAGCCGCGAACATCCGTAACAGAGGAAGACATTACTGCTGTGAGGGAAATGCTCGACGAAGACCGGAGAGTAACATACCAACAGATTGAGGAGACCTTGCACCTTCATGCGTCAGAAATTCATTCTATTCTGCATTATCTCTTATACGTAAAGAAACTTTGTTCTCTCTGGGTACCGCATAGTCTAACGGCAGAGCAGGACGACTTGGTGCCGAAAGATGCTGAAAATGTTTGATCAGCGGCAATCTCGGTATGTGGACAGCATCGTAATAGGTGAAGAGATCTGGCTCTATTATTACGATGTGCCAATCTAGGCTCAAAATAATGTTTTGGTCTTTGATGATGAGGACACAATCTTAGTTGTCAGAAAATCCCGATCTGTTAAGTAAAAAATGTATTTTTCAGATGGAGCAGGATTGTGGAGCGTGTCGCTTTGGACACACAGCAGACAGTCACAGTTCAGTGGTACACGGAACAGGGTCTGCCTAAAGTCATAGATTCTATGAACAACCTGCGTCCAAAATGAAGAATGGAAACTTGGTACTTCCACCATGACAAAGCACCAGCTCACCGCGCTAAAGCCTGCACCGAGTATTGAACCACTTCCGGACTGAAACTTGTTGAGCACCCTCGTTACAGTCGAGTTCTTGCTCTCTGCGACTTTGCATTGTTTCAGCATGTGAAACTGAAGATAAAAGGAAAACGGTTTTCTAGCGGTGAGGACCTTCTGACGGCTTGGAACAATGAGGGTGCCGCACTCCCAGGTGAAACTTGGCAGAGCTGGTTTAAGGACTGGTTTTGGCGGATGAAAAAGTGTATTGACTCTCTTGGAAATTACTTTGAACAAAGTCATTAAATAAAGCTGTATTGCAAAACTTTCGAAGTATCCTTTAATTTGTTCGGCTTTCTTCAATAATTGGCATGCACCGAAGCACATACTTTCAAAAAATCATTCAGGATTATCCTGCACCGTCCCTGTAGGAATACATTTCTTGAATGTTTAGAATTATACAGGGTGTTCGACTAATAGCCTGGATAATAACGTTGCATCTTTGATGAGCGCCTGTAGCTTGGTGACATTTTTGGATAGACCTACGTGCTTCGTTATCTTCGAGTAGCTGTTGAGAAAATTGAGTTCTGCATTTTCTCTGAGAATACATAGTAGGGTCGTCAAATAAAACAGTGCTTTATTTGTATCTTATATGTCTTAGTTATTTATCATTAAAAGAGCCTTCTTTACTAAATATTCTTTTCAACGTTTTCTTTTTACAATCAGGATATATGTATATGTATAAGAAGTTTGAGAAGCGTCGACGCGAGCTTGTTACGAACCTGGACAATAACCTAGATTAAACTGAATTAGGAATTGGATTGTCAAATGTATAGATCTTGTATCAAGGAAACTAGTCATGGAAAAACTTTGGGTCCATTGACGCATTTCTTCAACACGTTGAGAGATATAACATTCTGAATTGAAACAAAAATATTCAAAAGGCCTCGGCGGGATCTTTTCATATTAATTTCCAATTGCGACAAAAAATCAAAAGCAAACGTGTCATTGAAGAGTGATAAGTAAATAATATGATTGGTACTTACGTAAGATCAGAACACAATAAGTTGTCGAACGAAAAATCTTTCCTTTTATGTGAGAGCAAAAATGTACTCTAATGAGAGATAGGCAAACTAAGTAATTGGAATCGTCCACAACAGCCTGAAATCGTATGTCAAAATCGAGAGCACTTGAGCCATATAGATTATAAATCAAGTGAGAATAAGAACGTTTGTCCCATATTTGATGTATGTGATAACAGATATTTTTGGCGTAATTTATGCTCAGCCACAAAGTACGCAAGGTGTCCAGTTATGAACTCAAGTTCTTTTAGGTGCCGCAAGCTGGAGGCTCTGAGGAGCACAGCTCGTTGGTGTAGCGGTAGAAGAGATGGTTCAGCTGACTGTCCTTTGGAAGCATTAAACTGTTCAAGATTGTTGCGTCCCCAAGCAGTGATAACGTCCATATTTCTTCTCAGAGCTGAAGTCCCTGCTAAGCACTTCCGCCTTAGCCTTTGAGTCAGACACGTAACTGGTTGAAGTCTACTCTGTGAGAAAATCCTTTCGATCTGCTTGGCCAGCGTCCAGAAGGTCCGACTGCCATTGCGCTGCGACATTACCCTGTGCCTAACTTTTATATTGTGCTGGTCCTTGACATTCCGGACCGCTTCGTTATATTTGTTTCTGGACTCGACGTCTGCTTGTCACTTCTGTACAGTGGGGTTTTGTACCGCACGATTTATTGATCCAGCCGTTGCACCCTGGCTTAGGCGCTTTCACTGTATGAGGGATGTATTCCTCCACCCCAACGCAGATAATTTTGGTTATCGATGAACAGACTGCCGACGCATCCGCGTCAGCAAAACAAATATCTCTCCAAGGAAAGGTGGAGAAGAAGTCTCTCAGCTAAATCTTCATCCAAATTGCTAATCACCGTTGTTCATCCATCTGATTTCAGTAATAAACGTTGTTGCATAGACTGCTAAAGGCAAAGAAGAAGAGCGTTGATCATCGTCTTGTCTGGAAGTTGTATCTGCCGGTTTGAGAAGAAAACCTCACATTCATGGCAAAGACTTTACGACTTGATTCTTCCATGATCACTTTTATTTTGCTATTGAGAAAACTGGTGTAGGTTTTTTGGATTAATCTGGACACAAACAATCCTCACTAACTTTTCTTAGAAGCCGACAGTTTTTAAGTTATAAGCGATTCAAGGGCTGAAAACCCGAAAATTGATCATTCTCAATGCTTAGATTCTAGGATGAAAATTGTTAAGTTTGAGGTTACCAAGTGTGTAATAAAGTTGATTTTGATAAATGGCATGTGGTTATAGCGGTGCCTATAGACTTAAGAAAGGCATTTGATATGATAGATATCAATGTAAACCCAGTGACCTTGGAAGTGTTACATCCAGAAAAAATAATTTCTTCAACTTGGTTTTTCGGATATGGGGTGTTCATCAAGAATGAAACAGAAACAGAATTTGAATAACAAGTCATAAAAAGAAATAATGTGTTGGGCAACCTCGCAGCTGAATACACTCCTGCATACGTCTAGGCATCCACTTCCACTTCGTGGAGTACTGTAGCAGAGTCTGTGGCGTATGGTGCAAAGTGGATAGATAGTCTCCTCCCCATCATATCCCACACATGCTCGATGGGATCCGGTGAACGGGGGTGGCCAGGGCAGAACATGAACTCCTGCTTCTTAAAGAAAGTCCGTAGTACGACGAGGAATATGGGGACGTGCGTTGTGTTGCTGAAAATGGACGTGTGCACGTCACTCTAGATACGGCAGTTAAGTGGTTTGCAGGACATCATCAAAATAACGCGCACTACTCATATTGCCTTGAACAAAGAGAAAGAGTAATCGGCTACCTCAGGGAATAGCCCCCCGAACCATTGCTGCCGTTCTGTCCAGTTCAGGCATTGACGGCAGTGGTCCGCAGTCAGAGGAAGCACGAACCGTGGACGCACCTCTTACATAGTTGTTTTTAATACCTATTTAGACTCAAACGCTCAATTTGGGATGATGGTTGAAACATTGCATCTATTTGAAAAATCTCGGAAACTATCGATTTTTGATCATACAAGTATATGGCGAAATTCTAGGACCCCTACCACACACTACATAGAAGGAATACGACGAGTTACCTAATGTTGGAATCATTAAAAACTGTGTATCTTTCAAAATATTTCGAATCTGTGGCCCAACAAAAATACCTTCTTCAACCTTTGCCTCACTTAGTCTTGGAAATTTCTGACGCAGGTATTGAAAAGCTGACCCATCTCTATCTAATGCCTTGACAAAGTTTTTCATTAGGCACAACTTGATATGCAGTGGTGGTAATAAAATTTTTTTCGAATCTACTAATGGCATATGCTGTACATTTTTTTGACCTGGCTCTAGGAATTGACGAACAGGCCAGTTTTGTCTAGTGTAATGAAGTGCCTTTGCCCGACTGTCCCATTCACACAAAAAACAGCAAAACTTTGTGTAGCCTAGCTGCAAACCAAGTAAAAGTGCAACAACTTACAAATCGCCACAAATATGGCATTGGTGCTCATCGTATTTCATGCATGTCAATAGGTACTTCATATTGTCATATGATTCTTTCATGTGAACTGCATTCCCTACGGGAAGAGATGGTAAAATATTTCCAATATGCAATAACACTGCCTTTAAACTCAATGTTGGACTGTCTATAAACAATCTCCATTCTTCTGGGTTATAGTTTATATTTAAAGCCGCCAGTAAGCCGTTAATGTTACTGCAGAAAAAGTTATTCTCCATATTGAAAAATGGTTCTAAGTCTTTGTGGCGTTTACGAAAAACACATACCGAAACATCGTCTTCTAACAAGTTCCACTGCTGCAGTCTTGATCCAAGTAACTCTGCCTTACATTTTGGAAGTTCTAAATCTCTTACAAGATCATTTAATTCTGACTGTGTTATTTTGGTGGCATGACGTGCTCGGTATAAAATCAGGATCTCTTGACGTTGATGGCATATCTTCTTCCTGACGAATCACTCGATCGCCATGATCTGATTCGTTTTCTGATTCGCAAGTGTAGGATTCTGGGGGTTTTGGAATAGGATTTTCGTCACTGTGAGGCACAGGTCTCATCGCAGATGGTACGTTTGGGTAGTTAATAACTGATTTTTTTTTCTTGGACATACCTGTGGCTTGTCCAACACAAGGTACCATGCAAAAGTAACAATCATTAATATGATTTGTAGGCTCTCTCCACACCATTGGGACAGCAAAGCGCATAGACCGTTTTTTGCCATTTAACCAGCTCCTCAGACTTGAAGCACATGTATTACAGCAGATGTGGGGTGCCCACTGTTTGTCTTGATCACCTAGTTTACAACCGAAATAAAGCTGATATGCCTTTGTTATTAGTGGAGTAATAGACCGTCTCTGAGACGCAAAAGTCACATCACCACACACGTAACAAAACTGATCTGGTTTGTTTACACACTTTCGAGACATCTTGCATGAACGCTGTCAGCCAACTGAGGAAAAAATGGCTAATATAAAACAATATAATGTACACTGTATGTATAACGTAACACAATCATGCCGATTACATCATCTTTCCTTGCCGAATATAAAAATGTAGCACGTGCCTTCTTGTGCATTACAGTATATTAACACTGTCACAGCAGGAACACATATAATCACCGTATCTCTAAAACTTGAACAAATATTGAAAAAATAAGTTTCATTCCGGATTTAGCACATTAAAAATAGTAATATTTTGTTGTTTTTATTTAGGATATTTTTTGGCTGTTGATCAGTGATATCTCTTGCGATGTGCGAGAGGTGAGCACGTGACGAGCTTGAAAGACGATGGCGGGAATATTTGAAAACGGAAGGAAATGTAATTTTTCGGTCGACGCGATTCCCCAGCGATGGACGTTATTTTGCAAATCTGTAAATTGATACCCACTTACATAATTAGATTTTACATCACATCACAATTTTGTAAAGTGTTTCTTTGTTCAAGTGTAAAACAAAATTTGCGACGATTTTTCTGACTTGTTTTTTTAACACACTGATACTTGGGAATTTGTCCCAAAACATTTGGCTTGTTGAGAAGTCGATATTAACGTTAATATTCAATTAAAAATTCAAGGCGGTTATGTGTCTTTTATGCATATATCCATATAAATCATGGCCTCCTTAGAAAAAAACTAATACATAACATTACGTGTGATGGTATTTCGTTGATATTCCAATCTTTTATGCACTTGTGAGATATCCCTAGACTGTAAATTTTACACTCTTTTTGAAAAGCGAAAAATGCAATATGACGGCCATAGGAAAAATTCATTATACTATATTACTTTTCTTACAAAAATTTCCGACAACTGTCAAATTAACCGTTTTGGATTTACTGACAAAAAACCAAATTGCGCCATTTTGACATTATGACAGGAGCTGAGATCCCTGTATAGAGAGGCGAATCTGAGACACACTGTGTACTTTGTATTTGTTATGTATATATTATTATTATTATTACTATTATTGTTATTATTATATGAGGGAAATAGTAAAATAAGCAACCGTCATCCCACCCAAGGATCCAATCACGCTTCTAATCTATAGTTATTGGAAGAAACCCCAGGTTGCTATAACATTTTTTCCACTAAAGCTGCAGGCGTTTTGTTTTTTCAGTAGACCTGTTGAAGCCCAGTTCAAAATCATTCAACGCAATTTCATCAACGTATTTACCTCAATCATGAACCAGTAGAACAATTTTCAACCAACATCTAGACGTTTTTACCGTCAAGGCTTTGTCTCATTTATGGACTGGGAATCTGGGATAGTAATCTCCAACAGAAGCTTTTTGATGGTCCTCTACTAAGAGATTGAATGATTAGGTTGAACTAAATTCATAACAAAAATTTATTTGTTATCAATATATATAAATTACAGGACAGGATAGGAGTTGTAAAGAGCGATACCGCATGCGTTGACATTCCTCTTAATCCTGACGTATCCATGCTCTCCCCAATCAGCTCCCCAGGAGTTCTTCACGATCCAGTAGTCAACTCCGTCTTCACTTCCATAACCAACAATCAGGACACCGTGGTCCAGATCTTTTAGCAAACTGCTACATCTACTCCTCTTATCGACGATTCCATGACTGTAGAAAGGCATGGTGGAAGCATCAATGGCTGCAGAGACTGGTCCTTTGGAAGCTGTAACAGGAAGAAGGTGAAACTGTTAGTTCAATTACCAAGTCGGAAGGTTTTCGATCAGATGTAGAAGTAATACTTACACACAGCTGCAGTGACTTCTTTCTCGTCCTTGAGGTCAACGAATGACTTGATCTTAACTGCATATCCTTTGCGTTTGCACTCGCTGTCAATGGCTTCGTAAGGGTAGGATTCCTCACTCTGAATGCCATAGTCTTCGACATACTTGAAGGCATCGTCCATAAGCCCCCCTTTGCAGCCAAGGTTCTCGTATTTGCCTGTGGCACAGTCTACTAGTTCTTGAGCGCTCAAATCGATCAACGTTTTGTTTTTAAGGAACAGGTGACCTTCGATGGATCCAACCTGACCGGAAAAACAGAATAGAGAGTTATGACCAGTTAGCCTCAGTAAAAAGTTAACCGTATCGCTCATTGACTTCCGATGAGTCAAATAAGCTTAAAAGTTGAAAATGTTTCATTGCTCTTATAGGCTGAAAATGTTATTAAGTGAAAAATTCATATTTTGTTTTCTAGAAGTGGAATTACCTAATAATACAGGTACTAGACGAAAATACCTCTGGTTTGAGAAATAATTCTGAGGACTGGTTTTATTGCTGCAAGTTGTTCAAGGGGGTACTCAAAACATGGACGCATTGAAGGGGTACACCAATTTTTGTGGGAAAACTTTTTATTCGACAACAAAGAATGATAAAACGTATTTTTTGGGATTCAATCGAAAGTGTTGCCGGGAACGAAAATACCTCTCATATAGCGTTTTTTTGTATTTATTAGACCTACAAAATGAGACCAAATGCAAAAAGATTCGACTAATAGCGAAATTCATCAAATTCATGTGATTCGTACTTCTAAATAACCTCAACAAAATTGGAGTAGATTGGTCAAGTAATTTTTGAGAATTTCTAATTGCTTATCCCAAAACACCTGTTTTCCGTCCATCACTACTAGTTTATTGAGCAATATACAGGGTTAGTTCAAAGGGAATTTTATAGCTAAATACACTAGTGTACTTTGCCGATATGAATCGCATACTATTCCGGAAGACAAATGTTATTTTTATGCAAAAAAGGATGGGTTATGTTTTTTCTTCTAAACCAATTAAGACATTTCGTATTTGTGAGTAATTCACAGCAAAAGATGATAGACACATCGACTTTGTCTTAAAATGTATATAGTAACGTATGTTTTTCGAATATCGTAGCGCATTTGTTCAATTACTCTCAAATACGAAATGTTTGAATTTGTTCAGAAGAAAAAAACCTAAACTTTGTTTTTCGCATAAAAATAACATTTATCTTCCAGAATCATTCGTTATTAATATGGGCAAGGTAAACACGTGTATATTGCTATTAAATGCTCTTTGAATGTACTCTGTATATTGCTCAGTAAACTAGTAGTGATGGTCGGAAAACAGGTGTTTTGGGACAAACAACTAGATGTTCTCAAAAAACTACTTGACCCATATACTCAAGTTTTGTTGCTAAAGTATGAATCCTACGGATTTGAAGCAGATTTCAAGTAGTTTCGCGAAATTACCGTCGCATTGTCAACAAGTGCCAAAACCTGCATTTTGCCTCGTTTTTCGGCCATAACATTTTTGCTATTAGTCGGATCTTATTACGTGTAGTTTAATTTTATAGGTATTATGAATACCTATTAATCTTATATGAAAAGTTTTTTCATACCTGTCAACAGTTTCGATTGAATCCCAAAAAACCCGTTTTCCCATTCTTTGTTGTCAAATAAAAATGTTTTCCACAAAACTTGGTGTACCCATTTTATGCGTCCATTATGTAAATACCTCCTTGGGCAACTTTCACCAATAAAACCAGGCTTTACAATTATTTCGGGGAAATTCGCTAATATGATTGCACTACAAGTAAAAGCACAAGAAATTGCGCAGCGAAAGGTCAGATGCGAGAACGTTTCGTCAGCAAGATCATGGTACTATTCAATTTTGCTTCTGGTGCTATGTTATTCCTGATGTAGTTCTGAGATTCGTTGATTGATAACCTTTTGACAACGACAAAAGATCTAGTCTATATTCGCGGCTGTGGACATGCATCTTCCAACCATAGTCATCTGTGCAACTCCCAAGCCGATAGTGAAGTTCGAACTTGTTGCGCGCTAAGCGTAATCGTATAATACTGAAATGTTTGAAAGATAATGACGAAATACTTTGAAATCCAAAATGACAAACGTATACAGGGTGGCCCAACGAAAAAGAATGATTTCTAGGGGGACGTCTTTTCATCTATAATCGTACAATACAGGGCAATCCAAAAATAAGATAATGCGTTACATCCTATATTTTTGAACCTGTCTTCAATCGTTGTGAAGCTATTTGGGTTTATAATAGAATTCTAGAAATTATGATAAGGAATTATATCGTACACATATGGTTTGCATACCTAAAATTAAAAACAAGTCTCCAAGTATTAAAAAAACTAAAAACTTACAGCTCCCACGCACATTAAAGTTAAAGTAAAAATTAATTTGATGTGGTAATAAGGGCTGAAAGTCGTAACCATTTACCTCCATGCAATAATAAAGATTTTGTTCAAATCTATTCCTCACATTTTCAAGCATGTTTTGACTTATTTGTCTAGATTCAACCGTAATACTCTGACCAAAATCTTGAATGGAATCTGGCTTCGTACTAAAAACTTAACTATTCAAATGTCCCCAAAAAAACTAATCTAAAGAACTTGAGACCGGTGATCTCAACGGCCACTCGTCTGCCGATCCACTGATTCGGGAAATGGGTGTCCAAAAGCGTCGTACTGCCCCAAAAATGGGGCTCTCTATTTAAAAATCTAAAGTGTAACGCTATATCTTATTTTTGGATCACCATGTATTGTACCGTTATAGATGAAAAGACGTGCCCCTAGAAATCAAAATTGACGTGTCCGAGCGTTTCTCCCAAAATATACGAGGTGAGTCACAAATGTGCTTGCGACCTGTAGTAGATAGTAGCTATCGACGTTTGCTATACGAGTCGAAGAATGTTTTTTTGCCAATTTAAGCAAGGGCTGACGTACGTGACGCTTAAAGGACGCAACAAGCTGCTTAAAGGGAATGAAAATATACATACAGCACTGAAAGCCCAGCATGAGCCGCATTGACCTTGATCTTTGACAGCTGTCACAGCACCCTTTTTCCTCCAGTCAATTGCAGTCTTTATCTCAATACCAGTGGAATCAAATTCTAGTGCATTTCTTGGTCGGTCAGCTTTGCCTTGGGTCTTTAGCAGGTCCAGGAACTCTTGTTGGGTCATGTCGGCAAACTGTGTTACCTTCATAGCGTAACTCACCTCACCCGACTCGTATTTTTTATTGTGTTCTTGGATCATACGCACGTTGTCTTGGAAAATTGAGAAGCGGTTTTTATCTTCTACCAAACTCCTGTAGGTCTTACCATGGATCAGCTGAAAACACGCAACGAGATTTTTAAAGCGCGGATTACAATTTGATGCCGACAGTTTCACCATTTTGCGTAATAACCACTTCAGGATGCACCAGGATTTCGTCTAGGGGGCGTAAACGATATTTGGGGCTGATAATTTTGCAGTCTAAGTACAACTTCTAAAATTTATCCTATTGTTGCTCCGTAAATCCAATGGGGTCTATCTGGCCAATGCCAACTGGAAAGCGTTAGGAAATCCTCAGAACTGGTAGACATGTTGTGCGATTTTGGCCTCTGACACAAGTCTCAGGACGTCTATGTAAACATGTTCATAAACCAAGCCCCGTCTACGGAACTGTTGTGAGACCAAAAATCACACGTCTATAGCCTCTCGCAGGGGTATTATGTAAAAAACCTACAAAACGTCAACAAAGGCCTATAAGATTTCAACTTGCAGACTAGGTAGTTTTTAGGGTGCAAACAGTCATTCCACGTTTGCTCAATAGGATCGTTGTGAACGTCCATCTATGGAGGAATCTCTCAACTAAACTACACGCATTATTGGTTGCATAGTTTTGTGGGGCCTGGTGATCAGTGTCTGTAGTTTTTATCTCTGAGAAGAAAGTTGGTTGAATAGCAAGATCGCATCTGGATCATTATGTGTATTGGTCCGCATGTGTATAAAATCAGTGATATTTGCTGTGTGAAAAAATCATTACTGAATAAGCTGCCAATGAAGTATATCTATTGACTGTGCCCGACGGGTTATTTTTATGTTGTGCTTACTTGAGAGAAGTTATGTTCAAAGTTATAAATTACGGAGAATTACAGGAAATCATCATCGTGCCATTGTTGTGTGTAATTAATAATTATTTTTGATCTATTTCATTTTTGAAATTCAGAAAATTTGTATATCGTCGGCTTAAGATGCAAATGACCTAACTCCAAAATCAGAAATTGTTCAGGAGATACAAAAAACTTCACAGAAAAAAAGAATTAGTAAAACAAAATTAGTTTATAGAATATTTTATTTTTATTTATTGCTAGATACGAGAAAATAATGGTGATTTTCAAAATTAGGTTTTATTTGTAAAAAATTGGGGGTTAGGAGATTTGCGTTCTCTATGCATGGTGTTACAAGCAAGAGATAGGCAACTAACTGCCTGATACATTGTGCAACTTAAATTATTTGTAAAACTTAGCTTTAAAGAAGCAAAAAAGACAAAGAAAGAAACATTTTACAAATGTGGTATATTATCATAAAAATAATGAAAGTCCTTAAGAATAGAAGATTTAAGGTACATTAAATGTTGAAACTTTTCGGATTTGATTGGTATGGGAGTCGGATACATCAACGGCAACTCTTCTAAATTCCAGTTGTTTTTTTTTCTTCATTCTAAAAGGTAAAGGTGTCCATTCCTCTGTATTCCTGATTTTGAATAAAATTCCGTTTTCATTGTATTGAAGTGCTCTGATATCTTTGACACTCGGATCACCTGCTGTTCTGCCAGGACGGATGGAACTAATGTATTGAACTTCTTGGAAGTTTTTAAAATAAGTATGATTCAAGTACTCCACCTGGTAGGGTTTCGGATTTATACGAGCAGTTTGACAAACATTCACATAATCTGCTGGTACATTTATAACCTTATTTTTTAGTTTCCGCTCGATTGTAGAGTGCATTGAATCGCACTCCATTTGCGTATGTCCTTTTTCTAGAAATTTTTTTCCAATTGTAATCCCATAATTTTGTGCGAAATTGAAAAGTGCATTGGAAAGAATTGCATTTCTGTTTTGTCCAGTACATCCATCACTGTACAAAATCACTTTATTGAAGGAGTCTTTTTGGGGTACAATATTAGTCTCTAAAAACTTGTAAATGATGGTCGCAAATGTGTTGGCACTTAGTCTAGCATGACCCTCATGCCAGAGAAAACAATA